GGGTTCATTTTGGCATAAGTACAGTCATTTTTTCAACACAACACGCCAATTGGACATGAACTGAGTTGGCTAAAAACAGTACACCTTTGTAAACAGATTGTTGAATGATTGTCTAGTGGCCATGAGAGCATTTTCTCACAGAATTGATACCAACTTTGCAATTTTTTTTTACCTTTGCGATTATTATTAATTTTTTTTTGCACCTCAAATCCCAGGGGGGCAGCTGCCCCCCCTGCCCCCCCGGAGGCTACGGCCCTGATTATACAAGAAGATGAAACAGCATCACCATAATGCTTTGTAGTCTCATTTTGAGCTTTTCACCTCGATAGTTGGACGCCACACTAGAAAGGAGCAGAAATCTCTACCTGTCAAGAAGGCTAGATACTAGTAGTGTAAAAGCTTTATTGTTTGCCATCAGGTCATAATCTATTTCTGCTATCAGTTGATAGACTGCAACATCATATAGATTACCAGATTTCATTGAGGGGTGATAAGTCAGATTGGTTTTACTAGTACTTATATACCCTGTAAGAGGAAAGACAGGATGCATGATATACAGCATCCCTTGCAATCAAATCATCTTTATCTAAGAACCTAATAAAGTTGTCACCTCATGTTACCTGCCATAGCATTTTGGTGAATCCAAATTGTTATTAACATTCTAAATGTATGGAAAACAATCCAAGAAGCTGTGTCAGCATTTGATATACTGAAAAGAATAGATCAAATGTACGTGGTTGATTTGGCATTATAATGATAATGATAAACAATATGCATAGGAGGGTTCCTGTATCCCTTTTTCAGGGTATCCACTACTAATTATGCCTAATTATTGCTTTAGTAATCAAAGCTAGTATTTGTGTTCTATTTTTTTTTAAATTTGACATTAAAAATTAACACATAACCCCAACAATTTCATATCTTGCTGACAAAAGCTTTTTTTCATGGAATCTGACCTGCATAAGTGGATTATGGTAAAAAAACACAACTACAAGTGAAAACAATATAGATATGATAGAGGTGTCACTGTCATTTTTCTGCTATATTTGGTACCATATATTTATTTCCTCTTAAATATTACCATAATAAAATCTCTTTATTAAATAGAAAGTATCAAAATATTTAAAATAGTAATTTTAACATTGATAATCCACAAAGGTGCAATACAAAAAATAAGAATGATAATTTAACATGGGCGGCCATATTGGATTTGGCTGTCATTTTGAAGTTAACTGGTAGTTTTTTTTAATTTAGGAAATACACAGCATTCTTCAAAGCAATGTTAGAAGAGTGATATTATTTGTTGCATGCTGTTTACTTTCATGTGAGAATTTGACTGACAGGAAGTCACCAGCATAAAATGTGTAAATAATGTCATTTCGTTTAAATGACATTTAAATTTGCATTTATCATATTAAAAAAACAATTAAAATCTTATAAAACAACATCAATTCAAAGCCAAAAACTTATTTTAAATTTGGAGGTTTTTTGTTTTTATATTGTATATGATTTTTTTTTATTGTATAAATTTTGCCTTTGGAAAATGCTATTTTAANTTTGAAGTTAACTGGTAGTTTTTTTAAATTTAGGAAATACACAGCATTCTTCAAAGCAATGTTAGAAGAGTGATATTATTTGTTGCATGCTGTTTACTTTCATGTGAGAATTTGACTGACAGGAAGTCACCAGCATAAAATGTGTAAATAATGTCATTTCGTTTAAATGACATTTAAATTTGCATTTATCATATTAAAAAAACAATTAAAATCTTATAAAACAACATCAATTCAAAGCCAAAAACTTATTTTAAATTTTGGAGGTTTTTTGTTTTTATATTGTATATGATTTTTTTTTATTGTATAAATTTTGCCTTTGGAAAATGCTATTTTAATGAATTTTAACAGGAAAATGGACGCCATCTTGAAAATGGTGGCCATTTTGAAAAGGTTGTATGAAGCATCATGTAGCATCAAGCATCTAGCACTAATATATGTGTGAGTTTGGCATTTAAAGATATTTTGTGATGATTTAGCTGAACTAAAGTCCACATCATGGAAATTTGCATTTCATGGCAGCCATTTTGAATTGTGAAAATTGACTGCTTAAACCTCTCCCAAATTTAACCAAATGCCACAATGTAATGTAATAATAACTACTTTATGTAATCCAGGCAATAAAGGTTATATGAACATTGTGGTTTTGATTTTATATGTAAAGTTTTGGAATAAATTGAGAAAATTTGACCAATATTTCATAAACAATGGCGGCCATCTTGAAAACGGCGGCCATCTTGAAATTCTGGTATGGTGTTTTTTTTAGCCCATAACCTCCCTCATCACAAAACATGTAAAGGATAGATGATAGACAATGTTTTAGGTATGTTTATCAATGATTTGTGTTTTTAGAAAAAATGCAAAAAAAAACAGGCGGCCATCTTGGAAATTGTCCGTTTCCATGGTTACGCAGGCAATTGCCATTTCCACATCATGGCTAACTTTGACCAGCAGACTCTGAGCTTTCAAATGATATATTATTCAGGTCTGTGTATAAAGGGGACACTAAATCTGAAATTTTGGCCTTCTGCCGCTCACCTAAGAAGGGTTATAGTGTACATCATTGGGGCAAAGGTTTAAATTTGTACTTACAAAATATGCCTTAAGCTATTGGTCTCTTAACAACTTTGCAATGCCTATTGCAATACATCTGAAATTCATATCTAGACTTTTTTAATATGATATTACTCCTGTAACAAAAATTCAGAGCTATATATAATTATTGCGATTGTTTATACATGATTCTCCTCTTCCCTGTCATACCCTATTGCCTTTTAAGTTATCATTAATTTTGGATGAAAGCTGTGCACAGTTAAAATATAGAAGCCCAGTTTCACACACACACACACACTTAAAAAAATTAAGTTGGAACATTTCAGTATAATAGTCATTCACAAAAAAGATTCAAAGTGGCTTACTGATCAGTGGTAACATTACAAGGGATTAAAAGTTTTATCCCTTTAATTCTGGGCTAAACCGACAAAAAAAATGTTCCAGTTGTAAAGATATGTAAAGACCAATGTTTGACTGGTGTTCTTTTGTGGAAGGAGGGCCATTAGGATTAATTTTACCCTCTCGTATTGCATTCATAATATGATACCACCAGCTGCGTGGAACTGCGGGTGGCACTATAGGGCCTTTTCAGAACCAACTTGATCTGGGGACCAACTGGGCAACCCACTTTAAACATTTCTGCATAACCCCCTTATGGATTTCCGACAGGGATTATGCGGCATGCTTTCAAGTGGGTCGCCATCTTTATTCCTAGATTAGTTAGTTCGCAGATCTACATGTTGTGAACACGACCATAGAGTCCTATATAGTGGTACTTGATAACAACCCTTTGATGCTCTGATGAGACTCTGTCAGGTTGCTTTGATGGTAGGACATCTACAAAGACCCCCCTTGATAACCTGTAAGAAATGCTCTTTGAGAGGTCATCCAGCTCTAAAGTACTTAGAAGAAAAGGTCTTGTGAATCTTTTGCAGTATTTTTGTTCCTGTTATCTTTTTGTGTTCCCATAACATGGTGTTCTTGTTGTAACAGTAAGTGATAGGCTCTTAACTCGGGTAAAGTGATAGGGGTTTTAAACTTAAGAAGCAGAGGGGCACATGTTCCCAGTTGCTTATGTATTATTATTTCTTTGTAAGGGCATTGCACTTAAATATGGAGTCCAGGTTGTCAATTTTTTTTTCCTATCTATCTTTTTATGATTTTTAGGGGCCTGTTTTTTATCTTTTGTTTGCTCCTAGTGTTTCAGTGTTTTGATGGTTAAAGACTAGAAGCAAAGTTGGCAATTTTACCTTTTTTTTTTTTTTTTTTTCAAGTTACAATTTATTTTATATCTCTGTGACAGGATATGGTTTACCCAAGGTGCACACACTTGAAGCACAGTAGACATCTATAATCATTTTAAGAAACAATTCTTGGGACAAATTTAGTGTGACTGTCCCTATACAGCACTGGAAATTGAATAAAAGCACGTTACTTTTCACTTCCTAAAGCCAAGTGGAGAGAAAACGGTCTTACAACTTGTAATTATGGGTTGCTTTTTTAGTTTGAAACTTCGTTAAGCAGTTGTTATGTAAGATTAGACAACTCACAGTTCTAGGAAAATTCATTGCGTTTTTTTTTTTTTCCAAGCTTAAGTCAATAAAACGGTATTCCATATAGAATTCTCTTAGTGCTTCAGTCCAGTGCTTCTTGGGTGTTAGGCCAAATTAACCCAAGTGGGCATTGTGTGCGTTTTTGGTCCAGTATGGGAAACTGCTATATTTGTTGTTGCATCTTGGCCTACAACCAGAATTTCTCTTCTGTCCTTTAGTACTAAATTACGGTACAAAAAAGTGTGTGTGTAAATGTACGTGTAACCAAGTCCAATAGCCGTGCTTATTATAGAGAAGTTGATGAGATTATGCTCCCCCTGAGATTTTTCGTTAGGAATGATTGTATCTGTAATTCAACAATAGTTCAATTGTATATTCTTTTTATGTACAGACACTGTTTTGTCAGACAGTGGTGATAACAGTATTTTTTTCTAACATAAAGTCAACACAAGTTGAAGTTTCAATCCAGTTTGAGTTTAATTTCCAACACTCAATATTGAAGGAGATAATGGTTGCCTTGTATGAATTTTGTGGATTTTATGCTCATTTTTTACATTTTAGTACTATTTTCTAAATCTGTGTTATTATATTTCATGTTATTTCATTACTAACTATCAATTCAAAATGGCGGCTCTTAAAGACTGTTGCAGTTTCCACAGACCAACTGCTCAGAGTTTTTCAACTGTTGCTTGAAAATTATTTTACGAGACGTGACAGGTGGGATCCACAGTTGCACCATGTCTGGCTTATGTGACTTCTAAATATTGATTCTGTGAGCTAAAATTACGTGTCCATTATCGATATACGAGTTATGACATGCTATACATATTTCTCCTTGCAGGTTACAGGGAAGATGACACTCCGGGGAGCCAAGTCTACCCACCACATACACCTGTGCAGGTGAGGAGGCAGAACTGCCTTATTGATATTTTATGGAACATAGTCAGCCACAGAGACCAACCCAGACTTGTTAAGTCTAGACCTAGTCCTCCAGAGGCACCGTTTGATTATTGTTTAGTAATTTAGATAGATTAATCCATACAAACTTGAATACTTGCATGTATGTACTTTTGTGCACATACACACGGTTGCACTTAAACTTAATAATTTTACATTTATTTTATACATTTTGGTGAGAGGGGGTCTTAAACATTATATACATTATGTATGATATGCAAACTGTAATTGTTTGTCTTGTTTCAGACCACCCCTTATAGCCTCATGGCTTTTATGGCCCTGTCATAACCCCATACAAGGTCACACATGCCTCAAAAATGACCCAAAAATGACCTTGACTTGACCCCATACAAGGTCACACATTCCTTGTACATGACCCAAATCTGACCTTGGCATGACCCATACAAGGTCACACATGCCTCAAATATGACCTTAACTTGACCCCATACAAGGTCACACATTCCTTGTACATGACCCAAATCTGACCTTGACATGACCCTGTACAAGGTCACATATGCCTCAAACATTTACATTTACATCAGACATAGATCAAACTTGGTCACACATACCTCTTACCGTATGTGACCTTAAGCTGACCTAAACATGTCGCAAATCATTAATGACCAGTGCAATTGCACATTGGAACTTAACCATGGTTGATTGCTTTACATCATAGAGCATATGCTTATTGCATGTGGTAAGATGCAATCCGTCATATTCATTATTTCTATTTGAATGTGTTGGGACTGTTATGTATTATGAAATCGTAACCAGAAACAAATTATTTGCAATACCTAATTATACCAAATTATTTACAATGTCATTAGTCAGTATTTGAATTGCCCCCTTTGAAAATGTTGCCAATGAGGAAAACAATTTGTGAAGTCTTTTCTCCAACATGTGAATCAAACTCAAATTCTGCTGTATTGAAAAGACCTTTTCCCATGACTTTTTTGGTGAGAGTGTTTTGTAATTAGCTTCATTACAAGCATTCTCACAACATGTAGTTTTTTTTGTACATTCAGTTTAGCAAAGGACATAATAACGTTAACTATGGATTTTTTTTTTTTTTTTTTGGTAGATTGGCTATGTGATTACATCATCATCGCCAAGACCCTTTGCCATGTTAATATCCCCTTACATCATTGCAATCACAGATTCTGACAATGAGTAGGCGAATTCAAATGTCTGTCATAAAGAGATAATGGTCAATGAAAAAACAACATAATTGGGCATGAAGTCGGGAAATGGAAATCATTTACCAGCAAATGCCATGAAGCCAGTAGTCAGGATAACAGTTGCACTAATCTCTCAGTCTGTACAGATCCACTTTGCTGTCATCAGTTCAGTAGACACTCCATACTGTCACTGTAGCGTACGGTAATAACTCAGCAAATTCGAACAACATGAATTGATCAATGATGAATGTCTCTCAACAGTGTTTTGTTACTAATACCAAAATAATAAAGAATAGATATGTGAAAGTTTTGCAAAGGCTTGTTGTTTTTTTGTCAGAAAGTAATTTTTGTGGCTTTCCAAAATTGATAGATTTCAAAAAGTAGAAGATTCATTCATTCCAAAAATGGAGATACTTGGAAACGCCAGGCACCTTTTCAGAGAATGATTCTGCACGTGTTGTATTGTAGTCTCTACCTGAAGAAACTATTACTGTATCTTCGAGTGCATGACACAGCACACAGCATATAGAATTCTTTGCTGGATGACAATGAAAACTTTTTTATATAAGACCAATTTGTTCTCATTGGCTGAATGAACAAACATGAGATTGCACTGTTGTCTGTATTGTGAGAGAGCAGCAGGGCAGAACATGGACTGGGTGATGATGGTAATTTTCTTGAAAGCCACTTTTATAATGGATAAAGTGTGATTAGATGTTAAATTGACTTTTTTTCAAGCCAGCATGGATGGTAGATTGTCAGCATGATTGGCTGGGTCCTACCTCCCTCCCTCTCTCTCTCTCTCTCTCTCTCTCTCCCCCCCCCCCCCCCCAAGAATTGCACTAATGAATAATAATGCTGTATTTATTTTGATGATTATATGGCTAGATTTTTGGCTAAAGATATAAGCCACATAACTGAAGAATCTAATAAAACAGATTGGCAAACCTGTATTCTTAATTCAGTTTAAGGAAGAGGTTAACATTATATATATACCTGAATGGCATATATAACCAGCATTAAATAAACTGAATAGGAAAAAAACTACAGACTTGGCATACTGTTTGTATATAGTTTTCACATCCATTTTTTATATTGTTACTGTGGTTACAGTAGTGTCCTATGTCATTATCAACATCATGTCCGATATCATCATGATAAAGTTTGGTTCCTTGCAATGCTTTGTACCATAATTTGAGCCCATTTCACAACGATTGGTACAGTTTTATGTATCACACCAGTCTCATTTGTTTGTAGGGGGGGTTACTCCCATTCACAAGCTCCAATGTGCCAATCAAATAAATCCAGTTAATTGGCCATGTTGAGTAAAGAAACTCGGGTGACTCTAACATATCTCATACTAGTATGATACAGAAAAGTGTACTGCTTGCTTTGAAAAGGGACCATTTTTTTTTTCAAGATAACTAAAGAACTATTTTTGAAGTTGTCATAAGCTCTCTATATGCTAGTGTAACAAACAGCAATTTATTTTGAACTAAATTTAACAAACATTTTGCAACATTTCCAAAACGGATCCCTAACCATTTTCTCAGCGTCTTCCTTCCCTTACAAGTAAATACAATCCATATGGAACCAGGCAGTATGTTCCCAGTAGTATCATGGTGAATTGTTACCTGTGGTATCCTGCTGACACCAGTTGACAGATGACTTGTCACCCAACATGACATCTCTATTATTCAGCACCTTGACAGGTACCATGGATCTGTTCCGGACTTTTTATATTTAATTTTTTTTCATAACTGATGATGCTGGATGTTTACAGAGGTAAATCCAGGGGTACATGCAGAAATCATGCTTACTCACATTTTAGCTTCTCAAATTTTGCTGGGACCTCACTTCACAAAACCCCACCCCCACCCAGCCCTATAATAAGGGAAGAATCAGGCATTTAGGTACCAATGGTGCAACATTATGGTAAGATGCATTTTGCCTGTTGCAAAAATTTTGAACTTTTCTGATTAAAATGCAGATTTGCCACTTACAACTTACTATATTAGGAAAGGACTATTTTGATGTGATTTAATTGGTAATGATGCTTTTCAGAGAACAAAATATATTTGAAAACTATTTGCACATAAGCCTAAGTAAGTTGATCTAAATATAATAGATCATAGAAAAAACATTCTGTATCTATAATACAGTACTACAACAAAATCACACATTGAAAAGTGAGTGAAAAAACTATCCTTTAGAATGTTCCCCAATCATTTGTACAAAAAAAAATATGACAACATAGGGGCTTATTTCGCAGTAGAAATATCCTGTTGCAGTATTCTAAATGCAGATCATGTCGATGTCAGCTCAATCATGGGTGAGATTCAAGTAGAAAGATCACTCCCTGGGGCCTCTTCATTCCTACTTTCAAACGTTTAACGATTCTCAAATTGAAACCAGTGGGTCTTTAGATACGCCAAATATTCTAATGCATTCTGATGTTCTTATAATAAGGCAGGCTAGACTGGGTTCTTTTCCCTTGATACGCTGAACACTTAGGCAGCAGAAAGAGTCTTATCATGGTCAATTTCTAGACATCTTATAAAAGTGAGGAGGTTTCGGGGAAATATTTAGATACTTGGGGGTTTCATGTTCCTTCTTTTAGGTGCAAAGTTCATTGTTGGGTTCCCCAGTGATTAAAAGCATTGGCGATAAGCTGGATACGTTGCCATTTTAAATTTCCAAAGACTGGTTGGAGTATGTGAATGAAAAGGTATGCATATGAGCAAAAGGAAAGTGCCCTTTGTTTAAGTTAAATACTGACATAGTGGGATGTTATACTTTATAATAGTCTCCCATCTTACTCTATTTTGGGAGCACAATAAATTATTTCCTCCCCATTATTCCTTCCCCCCCCCCCCAAAAAAAAAAAAAAAAAGAGAGAGAGAAATAAATGAATTGTGATTTATAGATTTAATCCAGCCTCCTCAGTTTTTTTGTCTTGATTGGCAACCATTTTCAGTATCATAAATAATATTATATTTCGTTGACTTAAAATTCTCAAGAAACAAAAAAGAACAGCCACCCTGTTATTATGTTCTCACATCCCACAACGCCATTTGATTAGCATTTCAAAGTGGAATACATAGGAAATAAACACCACTGCCTAAAACCCAACCTGATTAGATCCTTCTCCTGTGGGCAGTTACCATTGATTCACACCTTAGAGCCTAGTTAGATCTGCTAATGTGTGTGTAATACCCCACAGAGCTAAAACAGGGATACATCATTTATAACGCTGTGCAGTAATAGCGTAGCAGAGGCGGCGAGAGTTTAACTAATGAGCGTAGTGCGTCTCTAAAGACAGCACTGCGGCTTCTGAGTTAGAGGTGGTGATTATATTAGGAAAAAATCTATGTGGTGAGCCTCTTTTTTTCCCTTCATTTGTGTTGTTTGTGGCTCTGTTTATTCTATTAGGTAGGGAAGAAAGTACATACAATCCAGTTTGACTAGTATTTGTGATGGGCTGTATTGAAGTTAATAGCTACTGAAGTTCAGATGCAAGAAGCAAGTGTGTATGGAAATTTGAAAAATAAAGAATCTAGTCAGAATGGGCTTTGATCTTTGGGATATCTAGTGTCAAATCTCCATGGAAAATGAAACTTGACTGCTTAAAGGCATACTAAATGCATTTGAAAATGCCCTAAAATCCTATTTTTTGTCTACATATCAAGCTGCTTACTTTTCCCAATTCAGACTTTAAAACGATAAAACCCCTTAAACATGAAACTTGACTGCTTAAGTCTGAAGAAACTAGAGATAAGTACATATCTATATATCTATTTTTTCTAGATGGATGAGTGAATATCCATTTTTCATTCAGGACATGTGCTGTTAGTACTTTAAATAATTTCCCAAGATATAAGTGCAGGAATGCCAGATTGGTCCCAGGAGTTCCCAGACATACTTTGATGTCCCCATTTAACAAGGTCACATCTTGTGGGTAATGAACCAGATGAAAAGTACTGTTTTTATTTTCATGACATGACCACAGGCCATTTGTAGTTCACCTTGTAACCTAGAAGCAGTAAGATTGCAGGTTGTCATGTACTTCGAGGCTTGTAGCCAGCAACTTGAAAAGGGAGGTTCCTTTTCTGAAATAGTGGTCCTTTTTACCAAGGAACCTACATTTGTGAGAGAAAACCTTTTTTTGATAAGTCATTGGCCACCACTAAAATTTCTAATCAAATAACCACTAATAATAATAATTATAGTAATTAGACGTACATGCCTCTCAGCAGTGAGAACACTTTGGTAAAGGAAGCTTTATATTTTTACGTCTATTTGAATGATGTGACATATTTTTTACATATTGGCCCCAGGCAGGAAATAACTATCATAATATTAACTGACAAAAAGCATTCTTCAGTCTTCAAAAAGGAGATTCTGTTCAAAGTGTCACTCACCGTCTGGTGTGCTAAAGATGGAATTCTCTCCCCCCCCCCACCCCACCCCACCCCCTGCCCTTCTTTACCAATTTTACCAATATTTTCTTAATTCAGCCATCAGATTTATCTCCCATGACAGCCATCGAACGAGGTTATATTCGTGACAGTATCTGGTCCATGGAAATAGGGGTGGATCGGCAATAGTTATGTCAATTGATTTTGAATTTTTATCCATTAGTTTCTTCCCATGTGGATTACCTATCACAAGAGATAAAGTTGTTTCTTTCTTTGGGGTTTGAAGTTTTTTTTATTTTATTGCTGTAACTGTAGTCTTTTTAAATTGTCTTGTCTGATGAGATGGCTCCCATGTGTGGATTCCATTTGCTTATCTGGTATTTGAAACGATTTCAAGAGAGAAGCATATTGATATGTCTTTGGCAAACATAATGTTTAATGAAATAACTGTCTTATGCTATTCAGGAGGAATGAAACAGACCTGTCAGTAGATTCTTTCTTGCCTGTGGAAGAATAATTTCATCTTCAGTCAACAAAACTCTGATGACCTAGCTCCTACAGGAATTGCTTCTCTCTGAAGTTACCTGCAATCTGCTTTGTCTGGGACCATGAAAATACCCTATATGTCTGGGCCTTCTCGAGTCTTTCTCGAAAATACTTTTCCTTCAATATCATCAAGGTGATATAATTCTTTTAGTAGTGAATTCCAATACTGACACATTTTTCAGCATGGTTATATACAGAAGAGATGTGAAGCGTGGCAGGATGGCCCTCTCTCACCTTGTCAACCCCCTACCAAGGCAATCCCATGGATTCTTTTAACATTCCCCACAAAGACAAATCCATGGATTATTCTGAAAAAAAAAAACCTAAAAGCAATTCCATAGGGAATTCCTTGGATTCTTTAAATACCCCCCCCCCCCCCACACACACACACAATTGCAATTTCTTGGATTCTTTAAACACCCCCACAGGCATTACCTTGAATTCTTTGTAATTCATGAACTGTTTGTGGATATTCAGTTGCTTTATAAATGATTATACATTTTAAAATTTTTTGTTGTGATGTTTCAGCATTCACCACGGGAGGGACGTGTGTTGGGTAGAAGAGCAGTGCAACATCAGGTAGGGTATCAGATCCAACTGAACCAATTTTCCTGTATATATACCTGAAGTTACAGATCAGATGTGTGTCTTCTTCATTCCCGTAGCCAGGGGGTTTCAGGGGGTTCAAACAAGCCACCCTTTTTGCCGGGGAAAAAGGTCTGCTCTGGGTAAAATATGATCTAGGTACCAGAGGGTTTCTTGTAAGAATTCCACTTTTTCAGAAAAGGACCCCCCCCCCCTTTGAAATTGTTGGTTATGGGTCTGCATCTTCTTCATTTTAAATCCATCATGTGCGCAGGCTTGTCAGTCTCTGACACTTACGGGCAATGTTTTGGAAAGTTTACTATGCCAAGCAGAGATGTGTAATATTTAAATCCAGTTTTCCTGATTTTTTTCTATACTTGGAAGGGCAAGTGAAGTAGATAAAACACCCGTCTAGCATTTGTAATTGGTGTGGTAAACCTCATTCAAATGTCAGTGAAGTTCAGACATGATAACCAAGTATGCACAGAGATTTGAAAATGACAAAGCTGACCCGCGTCATTTCCTGAATTTGTGCTGTCTCTTGTATTAATTTAATCTCTGCAGAAACTACTAGATAAGAAATGACTCATTATTTTATTATCTTCTGACTAACTTCTAACTAAAATTTTATTCAAAAGTTACTGTTCTAAAATTTTAGTAATATGTGGAAGGGTGAAGGCAGTTAGGTCTTTACACACACACACACACACACACACACACACACACACACACACACACACACCTTCAAACAAACAAACACACACACCTCAGTACTTTTTAAAATCTGACTGATTTAGAGAGAATACAACAGACATAATTGGTGCCATCAGAAAACCCATTGTTTCCAATGGTATTTCTAACTCCTCTTGATGTCACAGTGGTTTCTATGTAAGATGTCCATCTGGTCATGTCAGTTTGAACGTTTTCACTCTGAGTCCAACATATTGATGGAGGCAACCGTGCTGTCTAAATTTGAAACAAAACAGTTGCTGGAAATCCTATCAGAGTAATGAGTTTCACAAGAAAATTGTTTCCAGCATATTTTCAATTTTTACGAGAAAACAACTAAAATGTTCTAATTTGATCCACATGCAATGAGCCACTTCCCTATGAGAGAAGTGGATAGAGATCAAGCTTGTCTGACAGGTTCTTCGCTGATATATCGGGAATTTTCTTTTTTTGATTGAATAATATTATATCAAGGAACATATTGCATCTTCATTGCAGCTTTATCTGGGCTCCTTTGACAACTTCCTTTAATTTAAAATGAAATTAACAATTTTCTTCATTATATTTGAAAATGTCCCTATTAGTTGGTCTTCCCTGCAGGTTATATATGATAAAGAAGATTTTTTATTGACAAATTGTCATTTTCTGATATCAGTCTGGTAAGATTGCTTTTATTGAACTGACAAGAGCGGATATTGCTACGTCTAGAAGGGTCTGCTTTCAAGATGTTCAAGGATAATTTGGGCAGTGGTGACCTTGGTATGTGGTTTATGTTGTTCATATCCTCTATGAGTATAATTGCCTAGTAAAAGACTGGACAGTTCTTTGTATTGGGTAGTATACTATAAACTCCAAGTATACCCAATAATTGGATTTAGCATTCACATTGTTTGAAACTTGTGGTACAATTTTTTTTTACTGATGGTACAGTAAAGCAGCTCTATAAGGCATATATATGTTATCTTCTTCATCATTTTTTTTTTTTTTTTTCAAATAAGCATTTTGTAGTAGGTTCTATTAGATTTGGTCCTTATGCTTGTTTCTTTGCCATAAGTTAAAATATATGAACATTACCTAACTTGTCATGACCATTTTATCAACTTTGCCCAAACAGTAGGACTCTAACTTGTGAAAGAAAGGGAAAACCCCCTGTAGCACAATCACACGTAGGGACCCCTCAAATTGTACCAAGAAAGTATGCTACTGGATTCGAAGAGGGCCTCAGTCTACTTTTGAGTTACATATGAAATGAAGAATCTGAAAAAGAAAAGAACGGAATGAGACACTGCATGGTGCTTGGTGGCGTGAGTAATTACTATGACAATAAAATTAGTGATTATTATCTGTCCCAGAGTGACAGATGTCCTGTGAGAAGAATGCATCTTCACAAATTTAGATTTCTCGTTGGTGACAATAGAGACGATTGCGATAGCCATTTTCGCAGAGGAATGAATCTGAATTAGTTCATTAACTATGATTGATTTCTTAATCAATCCCGTTCTCTACCAGATGACTGAAAACCCTATGTTTCAAAGAATGTTGAATGTGTGTCTACAGGCCCATAGCCAACAATTTCAAATGGGGGGTTCTTTTTCCCAAAAAGTGGACCTTTTACAATGAATCCTTAGTGCACATAGATCAAAATTTACCCAGATTAGACCTTTTCCTGACAAAAAGGGCGGTTCTTTTGAACCCTCCCAAGCCCCCCTGGCTACGGGCCTGATCTGTGTTGGTACATGTTTCTTGTGTCTGTGCGAGGGGGAGAAATCTTCTAAGTCCCTTCTGTATTACTACTTTACATTGTAACTTCTCGTACTCCCCGTAGCAAACTTGTTACATTTTCTGCATTAGTACGCCCCTGCATAACTCTCCCACACTTTTCTAAGACTGCATGATGGTTTAAGATTCATCATAATACAACTGACTTCTTGCATGTGCTACATTATGTCATTAGGTGCCTCTTCTGTTTCTATGTGATGGATGTTAATTGTCAGGAAACTGGGTGTTTTTTTAGTGACAGTCTGGGAATTGAATTGCTTGCTTGAGTGAATTGAATCTGTGAACGGCCATGTGAACGGAAGAAAGACTTGTCAGTCAAAAGGCTCAAACAATGATGGAAAGATAGTGCTGCTTTTGTAAGGGCGGCACAATGTGGAGAAATTGGACCTATTTAATGGATTTTTATGTTTGTGACAATGGGGTTTAATGATTTTTTTCCTTTTCGTAATGTTTTTTATATTTTTGATTGTTCATTCAATTTGCATTCCTTCATTCATTAATTCAGATTCATCTGTTTGTTTTTCTTATAATCTCTCTCTCTCTCTCTCTCTCTCTCTCTCTCTCTCTCTCTCTTATTTGATATAAACAGAGCTTGATAAACCCAATTTGTGGACACTATAACAACTGAAATCTGAGAGATATAATTTTAGAATTAATTGATCTTAGAGCTGATAGGAATTAAAATTCAATGCAAATAATTATTTGATACAGTAAAAGATACTTAGTTTGTACTTATGCACCTTAAGCTTTGCCGAAGTCCGCCATTGTTATTCGAATTGACATTGGGCGATTGTCATCTTTGTTCAATGGATACAGTTTCAATCCAGCGTGATTTGTATCTTTGTGTTGTAGTACTACAGTTACAAATCGAAGTAGATATTGCTTATCCAATGAGCAAGAGGTATTATTTCATGATGCCAGTTCACACAGGCACCATTTTAACCATACACACGGCATATGTATATTTAAATTTGTATTTGTGTATTTACTGTATTTATATTTGTGTTTTAGGCCAACCTCAGGCCTGTAAGTGTCCCATCTATTGGCCATCCATGCAGACAGCCCAACCAGTTAAGACTCTCGAAATTGAACCATTTACTTCATTAGATTGCTAAGAAAGTTTTGGATTGTTTGAGCGAAGATTATTGAAAGTTTCTTCGAAGCATTTTCAAAAAAGAAAAAAAAAACGGCCCTGATAAACTTTTACCATTATATATAGGCTGCGGTGTCATCAATATTAATCAACACCAAATGTTTGATAGGAATCAAAGAGTAAAAACCCTGGGAAAACCATGTGTATTTGAACATAAAAACTGTTGCAGTACTTTTTTAAACCAGGTGAATGCAGCCGTAAGTTTCTAATTGGTCTTGGAAAGTTAATACGACTTCAAACAGATAAGAGTGGCTGTCAGGAAGGCCAGACAAAATTGATCAGTTGGTTAACAAGTATTGATTTTCTCGAAAAAAGAATTCATAGGTTAAATATATTTTTGTTTTTTTTATGGCTCAGTTATAATTTTCTCTTAATTATCCTGTACCAAAACAGTATACCCCATGTATTTTTGTTTTGAAAAAAATTGGTTCAAAAAAATTTACTCCATTAAAAGTCCAGCTGGTTAACCAATTTATCAGTTTTGCCTGGCCTAAGAATAACATTACTCTTAGTTGTTTTGACTGCGGGTGGGATCAAAACTTACTCCATCGTGTGACGGCTTTTTTGATGTCACCAAGAAGTGACAACAATTGCGCTGTATTTGGTGACAGAGTAAAGAAAGGTGTCTTCTGTTACGTCCTAGGGACACCATTATGAATGTGTACCAGCTGAGTTATGATCATTGGACCGTAATGACATTCTAGGTACACTTTTTTTTGTAAATGGGGTGTAAATTTTCATCTTCTTTAGCTCAGTTATATAGCAATGCACAATACATGTATAATGAAGCTTAAGTTCATTCATATTTTTTTTGTCCTTGTGTTGATTGGTGCTTGAGGATATTAGTTTCTTCAGCTCTTACACTTGTACACACACAAGCACATGGATATAAAGGTATAAAAACAAGTACATACATTCCCGCTTTTTCAATGAATTTGTCCATTTTTCTCAAAATTAATCCAATTATTCAGGATGGTTACAGGGGTTTTGAATTTGTCCAAGTGGGTTAAATATGCCATGGTGGATATTGCCACCTACTCCCACGGAATATTGATGAGTCAAGTGCAATCTTACTGGAATTTATCATCATGGTATCAACTAATGCATGCTAGTGATAACCAATTTTAACCACCCACTATTTTGCTCAAAAGAACGCAATTTTCTCCTACTCACAAATCTTTGCTTCTCCTGCTGTCCCTGCACTTGGATTGTATGTTTGATACCATTTGTAATTGAATAATTTATTTCTAAATGCCTAGCCAAACACTTAGACCATCACATCTCAGGTGCGGATTGAGGCCGTCTTCTGGGTCTTCCGGAAGACGGTCAGATTTTCAAGTTTACATTGATCGGTATCTAATTTTTTCTTTCGGAAGAGGGTTGAAAATGGAAGATGGATCAACAAAGATAGTTTGGAAGACTGTATCTTACTTACTTTTTAGATATTTTATCATTTTTAAATACAGAATTGGGAAATAGTAGCTTTGTGGGATATTAAGACATAAACTTATGACTTTGGGACATTTCCTAATACATGGCATCTTATAGTACCTTTAACAAGGCTTTGTAAATTAATAATACAAGTTGGCTTATGGATGCTAAAAAGACTCAAGTGTTCTTTATTTTCTATGGTATACATACAATTGCACCATATCAACACTGTCATCAGCTCAATCATCTGCCATCATCAGCATCTGTACTATGATATCCCACACAATGCAAGGTAAAAGACAAATTAGTCTTATTTAGTAGACATTTACTGCTTATTCCCCAGAGGCAGTTGTCATGTTAGTTGCTATATATATTGCAGTGGGTGTTTGTGGCTTTTATGTGCAGATTAGCATGGATTAAGGTGCAATTAACATTGTTTCAGTTTTTATGTTCCTAAAATATATTCATATGGTAGGAAAATGCCACGTGCTTTGACATCATTATAGTATTTTTGCCTAGGGGTGAATGTTTTATTGTTTTGTTTGCTGTACTGGAATATGACGGATATGAAGGCATGGGGATATATAGTTCACTGCTGAGCTGATATGAATAAAAATGATTGTCAAGAGTGTATGTTTAAAAGTGTTATTGTACTAATTGCTGTTTTTATGCAGAAATGCTGTTACTGTAGCTTATTAAGCCAATGAAGGAATCTGCATATTTGAGCAAGATATATGGTTGGATAGATGATTGGAATTCATAATTTGGAAAACGCATACCTTGGAAGGTCTCAAAACACCTTTCATTAATGTGAACTTGTTTGTTTTTTAATGGAATATAATAAAAATTTGGATATAAACAGGCAGATAAAAAGGTCTGGGGTGTGAAACGGTATATAACATACGACAACAAACTGAAGAAGTGAAATAGTTTCAAACACAGAAAATGTATTCAGAAGCTTAAGCAGCTTAAAACATTGACATTTGCTTAACTGTGAAACATTTTCTGCTTGGCTTTCTACCTGGCAAATTGAATGCACTTTTTAAAATCATGCAGCCTTTCTTTTTATCAGTTGATCCCATTGATGTTTGGAATTATGTAGTTTGATGGCGATACATAACTCCACATCTAGTATTACTTTGGCACATTCGTTCAGATTTTCATTCCCCAAAATGTTCATGAAAGAATGATGAATGGCCCATTTTGCAGTTATAATTTGCCAGAAGATTAATAAATCTTTCATAATTTGTCAACATTATTTTTATGGGAAAGATGGGAAGATGAATGTGGTAGTAATAATTGATCTTTTTGGGAAGATTGGTTGTGGGTATCAAGAAACACAATATTTGCTTCATTTAAGCCTTTTTTTCCCATATTGTGCTCTGTGTATATAAAAAAAGAAAAACAAAAAATCTTAACACTATGTAAGTTCACATTTTTATTTCATGAATATAAATTTTACAATCATTTTTATGTGTCTATTTATGCATATCACTACTCTGTTGAGAAATCAAAAGTTATGACACCTTTAATTTGCAATTGTTTAGTTATTTTGATTTCTCAGTAGTAATGTACCAATTTGTTATTATTTACAGTATCAAGTTGTCAGGTCACAGAGTGAAGAAATCTCTGTAGACAGCCCTGATCTTGGAGAGCCAAACATTGAGAGGGTAAGCTTTATTGTTTGATTTTGAATAAACAAGCTTCTGGAATATGTTATGTAGTATTGTGTGTTTTTTCTTTCTACGCAGTTGTTTCACAAAAATGGCTGGTTTTCATCTTATACATTTTTTTCACAAAACAAGTGTTGTGTATTTTGTTGGCCCTCATTATATCTTTGCATGTTGATGATGATTTTCTCTAAAGATTTATTTGCTGGTCTAGATGTTGAATATGTGCTTTTATGTTATAAAAATCAATGTTTAAGTTTTTGATTTTTAAACAGTTTTTTGGCTATTGTGTCCACTGTTTCTTTTCTGTTCATATATCATGAAAATGTATAATTGGTTGTTGAAGTTAGTTTTCTGATTTATTTTTTCTTTATTGTTTTGCTGTTTATTTTACCCTTGAGTTTGTTGTTGTTTCCTTTGGTTTCTAGGAGTTCGTAAGGCCACCAGGAGAATCATATCCAAGGTCAGCAAGTAGGCAAAGGTCGTTAGGTCAGAGGTCAAGTTCACTTCCAGAAAGAGATCCTGGAGCTCCAGGAGACTGGCTGGAAAATAACTCTGGACCTAATATTACCATGATTCCTGGGGTTGAGCCTGTCCTCTGGGAACCTCTCAGCAATGATGACAGAATCGAAGAAGAAGAATGGTGTGACCTTGACCTTTGTGATGGCATCCACACAGATGACAGCATTTCCACAAGAAGTTCCCAAAGGGAGATTGAGGTTGAGGCTGAAGAAATTCCTGTTGAACCACCAGGCTATGATGAGTCCCAGCTCAAACGAACAGTCCCAGATCGTCCAGCACAAGTGCCGATTGAAAAAGTGGTGCCTGTGCAGCAGCCAGAAGGCGGCGTTATCACAGTATTTCATGTGCAGTCCGAATACAATGGACAGTTTCAAGAATCCAGCCAGGGCAAGGATGCTGACTCAGACATTCAGGCTATTGATGGAGAGAAAAACAAAGGAAAGAAAGTATTATCAGTTAAACCATACAACATGCACAAAGGAAATCAGGATGGAATCGGAGAAATTGGTCCAAAGTCGAGAAGAAAAAGTAGTCCCAACGACCCATGGTTGACCACTGATGGTGAAAGGGCTCCACGTGGAGAACATTCTAATGCAACTGGCTACCACCCAGATGAAGAAGAAGAAGAAGAAGAAGATCTTTGTACAAGAGATTTATGTGATGGTATTCACTCCAGCAATGAGTCTGTGTGTAGCAGTGAAAAACATCAGCCTCTCCACAGCACCCCTAAGCCAAAGATTCCGCCCACCCTCTTGTCCCATAAAGATGATGCTCACACTTACTATTTAGACCAACGAGATCCTCCGCTGATATCTCCCGAGCCTATAGTCCCTGAGTACGAGGAAAAGCTCCGGAGCACTGTAGGTCCAGGTTTCTCATGGTCAGCAAACTTAAAAGATTCCGTTTTCAAGTCCCAGAATTCTGACCGAGTTGGCCTGTCATCGAAGTTCCCAAATCCTGTCCATGTTGAGAAAGTGACTGTTCTGGATGCAAAGCTGTCAGGTGACCGTGTGAGCTTGACCGGCACACCCAAAGCTGCCAGAGTTCCCAAAGTTGACCAAGGTCAAGTGACTTGGACTCCAGTCAGTCAACAAAGAATGAGACCCATGGTGGTGGAATGTACTGATGGTTTATGTGATGGGATTCATACAAGTGATGAGGATCTGTCGGAGGTGGTGTTTCTGTATATGATATTTTCTTTTTTTTTTCATGGTGATTTGCATGGATATTGTGTAGCTATTAAGTGTTGTGCTTTTGTAAGTGGCTCAGGAAGTAGTAACTCTGAACCATTTTTGTTGTCATTCTAAGTTTCATTGTGATAAATACATATTATTGCATCAGGTTATGTTAAATGCTCAGAATATTATGTCACCATTTAATAAACTCTTTTTGTACTTCATTTTATGTATATAACAATTGCTCTGATTATCTTAAAAGAAAAATTTAAAATAAAGTAAACAACATGTTAGAAGAAATGTCTTCATTGTATTAAAACAAAAGTAGAATTTAACTTAAAAATTTCAGTAATACTATTTAGCATTGCTGTATAAATTATCTTGATTATATATATAGTATGACATTTTTCACATTTTAGTCCTCAAGCTCAGTCCATCAAGGCTCAAGACAGAGAGCTGCATCCAAGTCATCTCATCAAAGTTCAAATCAAAGGTCAGGGTCAAGGTCAGATGAGTCATGGCCAGATCCCCCAGACAGTGTCCAGTCAGAGGCCAAAATTGAGAAGGAGCTCGATTCTGGTGCTTTGGACTTACCGCCCCCTCCTCCCACCCCCAAACTTCACAGGAGGGATGTAGGGGGTAAACAACTGGAAGTGGTTGGAGACATTTCTCCTTCATCTCCCGGCTCTTCACCACGCTCCAAGAGACACATCACTCCTATTCCAGTCAAAACTCCAACCGTCCCCATCACAGCAAAAGTGTCATCAACGTCATCACCATCTTCATCGTCTCCACAGCAATCCTCTTCCCCCAAATCCCCAGCTGGCCTCACAGCCAGGCCCACACGCCCAGAGAGACCAAACACCCTGATTCCCAAGGGGGAGGCCCCCCACATGTCCCCTAGGGTGCGGAAAGCTGCAGTGCCAAATCTCCAGAGAGATAGGGAGTGGAAGCCTCTAAAACCCAGGGGACAACCAGCCCATGACAAATTTTGCACATTAGAGCTTTGCGACGGAACACATTCCGAGTCTGATCATGATTTAGATCAGGCTCATGGAAGCAAGCAGGGTCATTCAGGTCAAGGTCACACAGGTCAAGGTCGTGCAGCTCAACAGCCTCGTCACCCTAACGGTGCTCCCCCAGGAATTCCAAAGACAGCCATGTTGACTTTCAGTGTGCTCACCGTGCTGTCACTGGTGTATGGGTCTTGCAGGCTGAACCCTGAAGTTGCCGTCACTGTTTACATACCTGGTCATATTGTACTGGGTAAGTGGTTTGAAATTTCTTAAAATCATGTGTACATATGATTCCAGTTTTTTCCTGCTTTGGTATGATTTTTGTTTGATTTAGAAGAATTGATTCAGTTGCCAGAGATATTTTATGACAGTCTTCTCCATCCTCTATTTTTGACCATCTTCCAACAGAAAAAATAAGATGAATCGTCAGTATAAACATTAAAATTCTGAGCGTCTTCCAGGAGGTGATTTATCATTTCATAAAAAGTTCACCCTGCAATCTACAACTGTAATGTCATGATAACTATACTTGGTTTTTATAATCTAATCCTCAGTGGTGAACAATTGAACTCTTTATGGTCATCTGAAACACAATGTGCGTTGCTTTTTTCATTCGTTTTCATAAAACTAGTCATGCTAAGCTACATTTTGCTATAGGTTGCAAGACGTATGTAAACGTTAATGTACTTTGGTCTCTAGGGAGACATTTAAGGTCTTGGACATTATGAATCATTTAATAGATGATGAAAGATGGAATGCGTAAATGGGGGAGTTGTGTTATCAAAAAGATAACTCAGTTTTTTTACTTATTGTTTGAGTTAGATCGACCATTTTTCTATAATTGGTTGTGAGAGATAGAGAACTTGAGGCATTATCTGCAATCTTTGTTGTATTTTTTAACCATAAACCCATCACTTTCTAACGGAGCTATATAAAGCATTTGAGGTAGTGGAGTTACTTAGATATGGTATTACATGCCTTGCATGCACTCTATATACAGTTTTAAAAATGAGCATTGTAGTAATTAAGGCTGTAAATTTTCTAAAGAAAGGATTGCTTTAAGAAAACATGTTCATTTAAGCATTAAAAGTTTTTTCAAGTTAGATTTATTAATATATTGACTATTTCTGATATCGCACATACTTTTTAACTATTTTGCTGGAACATCCAGATGAATTATAAAAGATTATCAAAAGTGACCTTGGTAAATTAATTAAAATATAATTAACATAAAAAATTGCTTCATATGAAACAGTTTTAAACTAGGACAGTTTACTGATCTTTCTTATCCACAAGTTTATTAGACTTACTTTACGTGCCTGATGTGGAATCATATTATAGATAAATGTGCTAAATTTTCAATTGATCATGGTGAAACTTTCCTTTAAATGTTACTTGTCTTTGATTGCCCTTAATTGGCACTTTTTCACCATAATTACCTAAAATATATTTTTTTTAACCCACAAGACTCCTAGACTAACATCACTGTTATCAATTTGATTATAGTTCTCATGTGGAATGTTTTAGATAAATGTGCCAAAATTCCATTTGATTATGGCAAAATTGTACATTGACTTTGGGTATTTGTAAATGTCATTTCCCTTTTAACATAACTTGCAAGTGATTGCCCTGGGCACGTTTCTCCCATCATAACCTAGATATCCTTTAATTTTAGATTAATAACAAAACTGCACAGATATAGAAGTGATTGCACACTGAGTAAATGAATTATGATGGAAAACTAAATGGCCCCAAAGGTATCATAAAAGGAACAACAGACTTGCCTACTCTTTAATGGGGAAGTAAATGAAATAATGAAAGTGACAGAGCATCTTCTCGTTTAATGACCCTGAAGATATCTGTTTTGTGTATTTGCTTGTATCAAAAATTTTTTAAGGGAATCAATATGAGGGGGGTGTTGTTACTGTCTGTAGTCAGTAGAACTTGGCCAACAGGGTATGTTGTTAGCTGGGATGTGTCTTGATGATGACAAGTTGAAAGTGCCTAAAGTCGTCCCTAGTTAATGGACCTGAAGCTGTCTTTTTTACATCACAAGCCATAAGTTGATCAAGATGACAGGTTATTTTAGAGAAGATTGGTTATTGCTGCTTTTAGAACCCAACTGTGCCATTTCAGGCATGCTGGTATGTTGTGTGTTGTATCAAAAATGGCAGTTGGCGTCCATCATTGCTTGCAAGAGAGACACAGGTCCCCATGGTAACAAGCTCAATACTGTTATGATAAAAAAAAGAATGAAAGAAAGAAAGAATGTGGCAGCCAAGTTTTCAGATTGAAGAGGAATCTTACCCCTACAGGCGAAAATTATTTGAGATAATGGGATCCAATAGACAATTTGTTATTTCTGATTATTCTTAAATTGATAATACAGTTACCTGCTCAGCGTAATATACTGTATTGGAAGGAAAAGATTCAAAGAACTGACAACCTGTTTCTTTTTAGATGATTAAATATTTTCATATTGCTGACATAACAGTTGATTTGTTTTGAAAGGTATTTCATCATCTATTGCCACCCTGTCGTTGGTTTTGTTAAAAAAAAAGATTGCCATAGTAACTCTTGATGCAAAGGACAAATGATTAGATAATCCAATGTCTCATGTTCTTGGTTAGAGATTCATTACATAATCAAAGTGGATGGGTGTATTAAATTAGCCATGATATGCTTACCAATAACCTTATTTCATCCCTCCAGAGTATTGATCATAATTATATAATGCCAGTTTGATGAGTTATGCCTCTTGCTAACAAAGTTGGAAGTAAATGCTCTTTATGTACATGTAAATATTTTATGTTTTTGCACACATTGCGAGAAGATGTTTTCTCTCCTCAAACTTTTTATACTCTGTGCTGGTATATTTTTTTTTAATTTTTCATATTATATTGGGGTTTGATGATGTTTCGGAGTTGGGTTGATTCAGTGCATTTTATTATTTTTTTTTAGTATATTTAATTTTTTGTTTTGAGCCCACGAATGTTTTCATATTATATTGGGGTTTGATGATGTTTCGGAGTTGGGTTGATTCAGTGCATTTTATTATTTTTTTTTAGTATATTTAATTTTTTGTTTTGAGCCCACGAATGTTTTGCATCTACAAAAAGTTGCCCTTGTGGTGGATGTATTGACCATTGGACTTTTGTGAACACTTTATTGTCATGATTGAGACTCTGCCCTGAGTTCCAGGGCAAATTGTTTTTGGTTTTCAATGATGCTGACTGATTGAGAAGTAAGTGACTTTACTGGATCATTCAGAATAAGGAATGAGAAAGTCCACAAACACGGGGTAGAATCACCCAGCTCAATATTCAGTGTTTATTGTATTCAAATAATCTTGCTGTTAATTTTAGGTTAATTGATTCATTGGATGATATATTCTAGATAATCTCAATTTTTGTTATTACTATTTTCATCAGGTGATGTTCAAGTCTTCTTTGACACCAGCAATGGAGGTAGAGTAATAGCAGATTATTGGCGTGGCAGAAACAGAAGCTCAATACACGTTTTTGGTGAGTGCTACAAATGTTGCAAATCCTGTGTTGTCATACACAAAAGATGAAAGGATTGCTATCAACAACTGATTAAGATTACTGACTTTTCGGGCCTTTCAACAGTAAAACGGGCACCTTAGCACAATGATAGCCCAACATGTAAAACTGGCACCTTAGCACAATGACAGCCCAACATGTAAAACTGGCACCTTAGCACAATGATAGCCCAACATGTAAAACTGGCACCTTAGCACAATGACAGCCCAACATGTAAAACTGGCACCTTAGCACAATGATAGCCCAACATGTAAAACTGGCACCTTAGCACATTGATAGCCCTACCTGTCATTGACATGTTAACAAGCACAGCTCCTTATGTTTACTAGTATGTGCCAGATGGGTAAGATCTATATGTAAAGAAAAAAAAAATGAAAGAAAAAACACAAATTAGGTTATAAAGTGATATGTTACAGGATATATTGCCTTAACAAGATTACTCTCTCCATTAATCTTCACTTAAATGAAAAAACCTATTAAGGCATCATACCTATTTTCTATTTAAGATCTGGATTCTGCTGCAGCCACCAATAGATCCACATGTCTCCCTGCTCAGGTGTGTCCAGAGTTTGGCCCTGTCCACCTCATTGGTTGTAATGCAGCCACACAGAAATGCGTGTGTCAGCGAGGTTACTCGCTCCTTCAAGGAACCTGCCAAGGTATGTTAAAGTGAATGGCGAGTCAGCGTGGAGTTGTTACTTGGTCTTGAAAGGGTGAATATCTGATACATTTTTGGACCACTAGTGAAAAAAAGTTAAGTCATGGTGTTAGAGAATATGCTTTAAAAATCATGTCAGTGGTTTGTCATATAAAATTGCATGTTGAAAATCTCGGAAGTCTTGGGCAATTGACTGTCAGTAAATATACTTCCTTGTCAAAAGATACTGCAAATCATTGATTATTGTAAGTCTAAACCCTCATTTACCTTGTACAAAGCATATAAGAATACATTTTGTCCCAGTACTTAGTACTCTTTACAAGTAAATAATGATTTTTAAATCTACAAAATGAAAAAATCAGAACATGTTGTTTGTTTCATGATAAGCAATAACAGTGCTGTTAAGTCTTCTGTTTGTAAATGTCACTTCCCTTTTAACATAACTTGCAACTGATTCCCCCCATCATAACCTAGATATCCTTGGAAATAACACGAATTGATATTTCATAATTAGATTTGTCTGGTCTCTTTAGTTTGCAAAAGTTAAGACTCTAACCATTGGTGTCTGGCTCTCTCCCAAACCATGCAGCCTTTACAGATTTCAGGGAATTTTTTAAAAGGTGATGGGTAAAGACTGAAGAGATGTCTTTGACATTTAAGCCTAGGTGAACTGCACTGTAATATTTTGAAAAAAAGTCTTTTATTTGGTAAATAGGTTTTCCATTGTCCCTTAAGCAAAGATGGTAAAAAATATAATTTCTTAAGAGACCAAAGGTGATGATCGATATGATTAAGATCCTTTCAAGAAGGGCCAAAATTTAATACCATAATGTAAAAACCTCCTGTACTCCTTTTATAAATGGTTGACTTTTTAAACTATTATTTTATTGTTTACACAAATGGTACTATTATATATGTATAGTAAATGTAAAGTAAATGTAAAGTATATGTAAAGTAAATGTTTCTTTATCCATTGCAATTGCCAGCCAGGTTCCCAGATGGTATGTATGGAATGTTACTCGTTTCTTTTTATTTCTAGGTTCCTGATATAAAACATTTTATAGAAAATACTCACATTTTTTCAGCACCTGACTTATTCTAAATATGTTATTTTTTTCCAGATTTATTATATTTAGTAACTTACTAAAAAGTGAATTTGACCTGGCTCAGAATTAAGAAATTTTTAAAAGCTGATGTTGTGAGGTTCATTAGAATAAAGGAATTAGTTTGGGAGGTGTTCTCAAGAAATTTTGTTTGAAATTTAAGGATCGAGGTATAATTGTTTTAAAAAACATATTATGGTACCTTGAGTGTTGTATAATTGTGCTTTCTTCATTCATCATGTTTAACTTCAGAGTACTAATACCTTTAGCCCAATAAATGATTTTGTAACATAATGTACTATGGAACAATATATAGCCCTTACTCTCATGTCACTGTCACTTCTCTCTTCTCTTTTCTGCAGTTACTGAGAAAAAATCGGTCATGTTGTTACAGTAGTCTGAGATAAAACAGTAATTTGGATGTTTTAGTTGTGCAGGAGATTCCATTTTGCTTGTTGTTCTAGAGGAAAACCATTGTTACTGTTCATGTTTAACCAAATTTTATGAACCCTTGATCTTTACTTGGAAGACATACTCATAAATGCTTTAAATTCCTACCTTATTCAAAGACGCTGTAGTTTAGAATGATTTTTATTGTCTCCTGATTTTCACCAGTCCCATCACATTAAATGTTTTCATGTCAAACACATGGTAATTTTTTTTTGCTGCACTTTATCAAATAATACACATGTAGTTTGAATATTTTTTGTTTCAATCTCCACAAATAAAGCAGGTTTAGCTGGAATGTTTTGTCATAAAAGATACTTATTTTTTATCTTTTCAGTTTAACTTTAAAGCAGATTTATTTAGAGATACGCACAGCATATTGATATAATTGCCATTTTTATTTCTAGTCATATGTTGTCTTTCATAATTTACTAATTACTACCTATTAATGTTCAAACAAATACGTAAACATACATTGTATAACCTATACAAATAAAGAAGGATTTTCTATATAAGTGGAGCTAGTAAAGATGAAAATCATGTATTGCACATATTTTATATTAGATTTTAGTATCACAGCTATGTAGTATAAACTGTCATGGTACCCATATATATCTGGACAAGCATTTCCTCACATCTGCTAAGATAGGTTTCATCTAATTTGCCTTCTGTTATTGAAATCAACACTAATAGAAATCATAATTTTATTAAATCCCATTTATTTGTATTTCTTCACACCCTGAAGTTCTTTGACATCGACCTTGAAAAAGTTGACCTTGACTGTTATATACCATGGTGAAAATCATCCTCTGTAGGGCTCAAGACAAATAGTTATGAGCCAATAATGCCTGTCGTATACAACAGCTCAAAGTGATAGAATACCAAGAACTTGTGATCTATCTATGAACCTTATGTTTAGTACTTTTGCTTTAGATTTCTTATACAAGCTACCTTTACATATTCATGTGTATATCTATGCTGAGAACCATTTACTAGTAAGTTTCTTTCTTACCAAAGCTTCTTTCCAGCACTTAAAAGGGGCCACATTTTCATAATTTGATATTAATTCCAACCAATAGTCAAAATTAACTGGAAATATTTCATTTACTTTTTCAGATCTGGACGAGTGCAGCACAGGTATTCACAGGTGTGGCCGCAACAGTCGTTGCATCAACACGCAGGGAGGATACAGGTGCATGTGCGGGGAGGGGTTCTACAGTTTAGGAGGTACTTGTAGAGGTGAGCACTTAATTGATGATTTTTTTTCTTTTGTAAGTCTGAAAAATCTTTGGATTGCCTGAGTTTTTTTTTTTTTTTAATGTGAATTGGAGGACACAAATGCTTGAAGTGGCATTTTTTAGTTGTGAAAAACATTCACTAATTGACAAAAGCAAGATTCAGTCTTTTTTGTTAAAGTAGAATGCCAAAGTTGTAAAATATTTGATACTGCCAAGAAAAACTGAATAAGAAATCCAGTGGACAAATTGTATATTTTTCTCAAATTTATTTCTTATAGTTGTTCATTAATTCGTAAATCTTCCATGTATTTTGTAGCTTGCAGTGGGTCATGTCCGCCTGGCTTCTATCAGAGTTCTCCGTGCTCTGACACACAAGATAGGAAGTGTGCAGGTAAACTGGGTCATCCAAGGTCAAGATGGATATTTTTATTCATCTTTTTTTAAGTACAATGTAACCAAATTAAAGTAGATTTCATACAGTTTGGCAGTTTGTAATTTTGTGACTTGTAATTTTGCATATTAGTGAAATCATGAAGTTTGTTGTTGAATTATGAATCTAATTCTGCCTAGTTTATGTCGTAAGTTTATTTTGGCTTCCATTTAATACACACTGAAAAGCCTCAAAAAGAGAAAAAAAAATCAATTTGTAATTTATTGCTTGAAAAATATTAATATATGATTAATAAATGATTACAGACAGTTTATAACTGTACATATGAAATATCTGGATCCATTTTCAGTTTGCGTACATTGTACAAAGACTGGGTACGAAGTGAGACCTTGTGGAAGGGGAATGAACAGAAAGTGTGTCTGTGAGTACCATTTGCATGTTCAGACATTTATTTATAGTATCCCTGGCTGACAATAGATTGCGCTAGTGATGAAGAGCATGTGGAATGGAGTGTTGTAGACAACCAGCAGGTGTCACTGGTGTTGCATGTTGTTTACGTATGTATAGTGTCGGTGTTTGTCAGTAGATGGAGCAGTGGTGAATTGTGGAAGAATGTCTTGTTTTGTTTCATCAACAGAGGTCTCTGCATTTCACCAATGATGATATAAAACAGAAAAAAGATGGAAAATATTTAATAGAAATTCACAAGTTTATTAATTATTATCTTTTAACATATTGGAAAGATATCCTAGCTTTGGGTTTTCAAAAATATTCTGAATTGGGTCAAAAGATGTGGCATTCCATCATGCAGAAACCTCTTGTGAAGTCCTTTTGCTGTCAGTTTTTGTCATAGATTTTTATCCCCAGTGAAATCCAAGTTCTTTTATTACATGTATATCCTCTGTCTTCATTTAAGTTTTCTCATTTTTATTTGACTGAGTTTTCTAATATTAAAAGCCATGATTTTATTAATTTACAAACTGTATTAGGAGATTATTATTTTGTATCTATTTATATATTTATTTTTGTTTATAACAAATACCTTTCTATCTGAAAATGTATATCTTTTATGATTGATTATTGATTTTTACCCTGTGACAATTTCAACATTTTGTTGTTCTTACTTGTTGTTTTCAGTTGAATTGTGATTTCATTTTATTTGTGAATTCTTTTTCTAGCTTTTTTGATCTGTTGCTAATACTACAACTTATCCACTGGCATTATTTTTAACCCGTTGATGTACATAGCATTTTGTCATTTGTTGCTCTAACATTTTCATGACTAAAGTCATATTTCTGGCCCATATCTTTTATTCTTTGTTCATTTGATTCTTATAAGCTCTGTTCTGAAAACTTTAACTTTTGTACTAGCTGTCATATCACTATATTATTATTTGCCACAATATCAATCTCAATAACTCTCCTGTTCAATTCAACTCATCGGCGATCACAATGGTTTGATCATGTTTTATTTGTCCTGAAAATAATTGCATTCATTCAACTGTTTGTTGTTAACTTATTGCACTCTTAAATTGCTTCACTATCAGTGATGTGTGTAACATTGCTGCATTGTTGTTGTTGTTGTTGTGGCTTTTTGATGTGGTGTTTGTGGTTGTCATGTAAGTACTGCTTGATGCATGCCATGTACGTGAATGCTGTGTTGAAAATAACCATATTAAAGCTTGTAATTGTTCCCTTCACTAACATGCAGATATGAATATTAACTTATTAAGCTAAGCTTATAGCCCCACTGCTTAGAAAAACATTTTACAGCAATGGAAAGCTCTTGCTACAAGTAGTTGTGCACCAAATTATAGCCTCTGTCAAATATACGCTTTTTGTACTTTGTCATCCTTTTAACATACTGTATAATGTTGCTTCTGCCACTGCTGAATCAATGCAAGTTGTAGTAATTTAGTCATATGTTAATTGTAAATGTCTGCTTAGAAATGCTGTATTGTCCGACTGATCCTCAGATAAGCTCAGTTTCAGCAGGGAAGACTTTATCTTCCATGTTTCACTTTTAATGGAGGTCACTTTCTAGCTGTCACTTTAAGGTTGCCATCATGGGCTTAAGATTTTGGAGCTATGTTTTCTCATTATTTATTTTTATTTGTTAATATATTTAGGAGAGGGGGCAGTTTGCACTGACCGTAACAGAATTTTTATAAAATTGTAACTTGACCAGGCAAATTATTTGATTTATCTACTTTTACAAAAAATTAAAGACATAGATTGCATTTAGATTACTTTTTTGTTTTCAAATTTGTTTTGTTTTTATTCACTCAAATGGAGAAGAAAAAATTGATATTTATAGAATCATTTTTTCCTGTAGAATGTCAAATATTTTGACTGGGTCCATGATGGCTGCTGTCTGTATGTGTTGGTAGTAAATAGAGTGTAAAATTGAGAGGGTGACCTTCAATTAATGCATTTCATTTTCATGGCCCATATGTATTCCCTAATACCCCGCACTGAGTGCCAAAGGAAATAATAGGCATACCATGGATTTAAATTGTATCTTAGAAGTTGTGTTTATTTAAATTTTTCATACGATATACGAAAGGGGACTTTGTTTGGAAACTAGAAAATTAAAAATTGATCTTAGAGTTAAACCAATTTCATTTTATTTATTTATTTATTTATTTATTTATTTATTTATTTATTTATTTATTTATTTATTTATTTATATTTGAGGGGAGTGCTTTCTGAAGCACATTTTGGCAATAATGCAGTTTGTAATCCGTAGGTAATTTGCAAAATTGATTCACATCACCACTTTTTTTTTAATTTAACTTATTAACAAACATTAATTCAGTTTGAAAAGAAAATTTGACCAAGGCATCCTTTTTAATCCATGGTATGCATCCCAAATTTAAAAAAAAAAGAAAACATGAACACCATTTCACAAAAAAATTTGGAGATTTTCTTTCCGAGAGGTATTTCCTAGAAATATTACCAGGGGATATATGTGGGCCATTCTTGCAATACGCTCTTCATTCTCTGGACAGTACAGTTGATAAAAGTGACACATGGTGTGTTTGTGTTGTGAATTGCAGCCGTCTCCAACCCCTTAGGTACGCCGCCATCTGATGGCCGAGTATTTGTGGAGGCGAACAGTAAGTGATGGTTTGCAAAATCGTATTAATATTATTAATAGACATTTAATAGTGTTTTTTTAGTATTATTTTTTTAACGATGCTGATTATAATAATCATGATTTTGCTGCATACCTGCAATGGAAAAAATACCGAGTTAAATAGGATGGGATAATTTTGGTCACTATTAGTTAAATGAAGAACCAGACAATTTTTGGCAATTATCACTTAATTATCACTTATTAATTATCAGTTAAATTGATTTTGTTGACACTAATAATATTTGATATAGAAATAATTCTTACAGATTATTGTCATAATGATATAAGTAATGGGGACAATGAAAAATCTTAAAAACTAAAAAGGTTCTTATCGTTTAGGATAAAATAATGTTTACAATTTTTGCCAAGTTGAAGTTGGATATTTTTGGCAACCAACAATTGATCATTGAAAAAGAAAAACAGTACCATTAAAGCCATTCATAATAATATTATTGATAATAGTTATGTGATGATCTTAAAAAGTACAGTACATTAAAGTGATGTTAAGATCATGTGACCGTTTGAAGTTCATTATGAAATGAAATAGGACACCTAATTTTTTTTTCATTTGTAAATGGGTAAAAATGTTAACTATACATTAACCTCTGTATGTGGAAGGTAACTGTAAATTATGGTTGGGGTTAAAATATGAACTTTTCTCTGAATTGGAATGTTTTTTGTTTTTCTTCTTGTGTAAAAATAAGTGCTGTTTGTCAAAAAATCTCTTCTAGAAAAAATTTGGAGGATTTTAAGTCTAGTTTGAAATGTCCCGCCTTATCATTTTGTATAGTGGAAAGAATGCTTCCAAATGTCAAAATACCTAGTGTAGGAAAATTTTGGGAGGAGGTTATAATCTTGTAATTCTTTATTATATGTGAGTGTGTGTGCTTACTTGTATCTGACTGCCTTGATTTTCAAATAATCTTCCAAGTTGATTTTTCAAACAATCTTGGTTTTCATATAATTCTAATGACCCCGTGCCCAGTTCTTCACTCAAATTAAATCTTGATAACTTCCATCCTGAACATTTTAATGCCTTATAATTCTTCTATTGAACTTTTATTGATGCTCAGTGATTGTTTTTGTTTTAGTTATTTTTCTTTTGTAATGTGATCTATTACTTTGTTTTTGTTAATTTTTATGTACTTGAATATTGATGTCCATTTAATATTGTTTTCCTTTTTTCTTTGAATTACTGCATGGATTTCTATGCAGGCTGATATATCTTGCATTAATTTATAATTTATATTGATTTTATTTTTATTTTTAGTATATTTTTTATTAATTTATATGAAAATCATTTATTAATTTGTATGAATAATTCATAGAAAGAATGAAATCATTTAACTCCTTTTAGAATTTGAGTTAATTCAATATATACAACGCCTAAAATATGATGATCATGACCTTCCTAAATGTTTCCTCCAGACACAGGAGACTTCAGTTACCAGACCCCGCGGAACATGTTCGTGGAAGATCTCCTCAAGACGCACTCTCTGCAGTCCACAGTATATGCAACCTATAATAACCAGTACAGCGACTTTCTATGGCAACGAGAGTCGGGCTTGAAGATTAACATATACGTGGATAACATACAAATTCTGCCAACATTTACGGATACAAGTCATCTTAGTGACAACGCATACATGTACAAGAGTCCGCAACCAGGAGAGAAGGAAAAGTTTGCAAATATTGTGACAAAATTTTGCAGGTAATTGGACAAAAGGGCACGTGTTTAGTGGTAAAGGGTGGTGCATGGTAGCTGATGACAAGCTCATAATGGTCCACATTTTAGTTTTATCACAAGCAGCTCTGTTTTACTGACCTACATACAGGATACAGGTCATGATCATTGTTTTGACATACTTATTGATGTAGGCTGAATGACTTTTATATCGTTATAATCCTCTTTCTGTTTCTAATTGATGTTTTAATTATTCTGTTCATTTAGATTTCTATAATATAAATGTGATTTAATCATTTCCGGTTTTGCATCAAATTGTCCTAAAAAATTGCTGAAGTTCAGAAATATAATAAAGTTCCTTCATTATATTATAGCATTTTTTGGGGTCTGTTATAACATGTTTGCCTAAATTATTGCCGAGGAAAATGGCCCAGCTTACACTACATGTATGTTACTTCTCAACAGTTTCTGATTTGGACATCACACCAATTTACTTTCAATTTATTTTCATTTGAGCAAAGATGTTGATTCTTTGCATTCCTGTACTTCAGTTTTCTGAGATCCCTTTTTTATAGGCACCCAGTTCCAGATTTCTACAACCTCAGTCTGGAAATCTACAGAAGTCGCACGTCTGCTGTGACGGCGGTCGTCTGCGACTCCAGCAACCCAGACAAGATACGCTGTCCCCAGCAATTCAAGAACGGAGAAACTTTTTACTACCGGAGTGTGAATAAGGATTGCCAGAGACGAGTAAGGCTTTGTTTTGAATGAGATATTTATAGACATATTTCCTGCGATAACATGTAAGCAAAACTGCCGGGATTAGAGGTGTACAAAGTGGTAGGTTAGTTCTGAGACCTAACAACATATTTATAATTTTTTACTTATTAAAAAATGTTAGATTCTATAGATTTTCTACCGCTATAGATGGATAATGTAGGTTTATAGTTTTTTACTTATTGCCATTAGATGTGTAGATTTTTACAGAATTAGAGGTGCTGATTTTCCGTTTTATTTATTAATTTTTTTTTTTCAAATTTCTTTGATGCTGCTCCCATAGTGAAGCAGTATTTTTTCATGTTTTCATATTGTTTTCAGAGTTTAGAATCAGCATAAGTTGAGTTTATCACCTATGTGTGTAGATTGTTTTAGCTTTCAATTGTGGAGGATGAAGATATGCGATTATTCATTTTTTCAGTTTTGTTGGTTTGAAAATTTATCCAAACCATTGAAATATAATGCAAAATGTCAAGATTAATTCTGAGTTGGAAAGTTGGAACAAAAAAAAAAAAAAAGAAATCATCTGAAGTCAGTTAATAAACTCAACTTCTGCTTCTTTGGAATGATTTTAATCATTTTTCCAATTTAACACCTTGTTTTGAAGGCATTTCGCTTGAATGACCCATATTGCATTTTAAGAGCATGCTTAACTAAAGCATGGAGTTATTGCAAAAAAATGAATTCTCTAGATTAGTCCATTGTTTGCTAATTAGTCTTATAAGATGAATTTTCATTGAGTATTTCTTCAGTTATTTTCTATCAGTTAACAAGTTATTGATTAATGTATTAACAAAATCTTTTGATTACAGGCCAGATAAATTTTTCCATACCTTAAGTTAATTGTGTTCTTTAAGATTCTTTTTTATTTCATTTTCTTTTACAATATTTTGTTTATGTATATATTATTTTGAGTTAACATTTTCGTTCATTTAGTTTCTGTGATAGCAAAGAACACTCTCTGTTTATTATTTTTATTTTATAATTATTTTATTTTATTTACTTTTTCCTTTTGAACTATTTGCTCTAAATATGCACCAACTGAGGAAGGAGATGTTTTCTTCAGTTATCAATAAACACAAAATGATGTTGACTCTTTTGCATAAACATGCAGCAAATGTTATGATCTAATTTGAAATTATCTTTGATTTCCAAAAGAGCTGAAATATATCATAATAGGTAATTGGAAATTTCATATATAATTCTTTTAGATTGGTAGCATTTTAAATATTTCAAAATCATTTTTGTTAAGTTATCAAACATGTTGTCATTGCATGACAATTTAGCAGTACTAATAAAGAAAATGGGCCACTTCCCCCTTTCACATAAAAACCAAGTTTCCACTTTGTTGATCATAATATTT